CTGCTCAGAGCTGGCATCCCAAGCCAGCTCTTAACCAATGCGCCACTCGGTCGGCCCTTAATTTGATATTTTTTAATTACAACAACTTGGGCTCGTCTAACAAATTTTAAAGACAAGACATATATAAAATAAAACAATAACCCCTAGCCTCTAATCTACCTTTTCCCACCTCCTAGTAACCATTTAGTGTATATCTATCTGTCGTTTTCTATGTATTTACAAGAAAAACATAAATATAATATTAAACAGATAGTCACACACATAGAATTATTGTTTGTTTTTATGCAATTGGGATCATACTATACAAAATGTTCTTCTTTTAAAATTAACATTATATCTTCTACTTCATTACTTCAGTCTCAGAGTATGAATAAATTATAATTTATGTAAAGAGTGTCTTATGATGGACATTTAAGTTACAACAATGCTTTTTGGCAATCATTTTTGTACAAATATGTATTTGAGTATATGTGTATTTCTATAGAATAGATCCCTTGAATTACAACCTAGGGTATGAGCATATTAAGTTTTGACATTGTCAAATTGCCCTCCAAGAAAGACTGCCAATTCATACTCTATCAACAATATACAAGAGTGTTACCCCTACGCTCTTGCCAACACTAAATATTATCATTAATTTTTTTTAACGTTTCCTTTCCAGTGGGTAAAAGGGTGGTATTTTAAAATTTGCATGGCTTTAAAGATTAGTAAAGTTGAGTTATCTTTTCAAAGCTTATTATTACTCATGTATAAGACTTCTACTGGTTACTCATTCATATTCTTTGCCCACGTTTATGTTGTATGTTGTCTGTAGATTGCTTTACACATAGTGAATATTGACCCTCTGTTGCACATAACACACAGACTTTTTACCTCCTCCCCCACCCCAGTTTTTCCTTCAGATTCACACCAGCTCTGCTGTACCATGTCAAACCCATACCACCCAGCCCCCGAGCCTCTCTGACAGGGGCACCAAGTGGCAGGGTGTGTGATCTTCACTCGAGGTTTGCAGAAGACAGTAGAACCTAGCAGTTAAGAGTGTGGCCTCTGGTGTTAAGTCTGAATTCAAATTCCAGTTTCAATTCCAGACTCTACCATTGACAGGCTATCTCTTTAGAGGTGAACTATCTAACCTCTCTAAACAGCTGTTTCTTCAGTAGTAAAATAGAGATAATAAAAGTTTCAATCCCACAGGCTGTGTTCTTGTGTGCTAACAATAGTCACGAAACAGCTACTATTCCTTGAGCCCTTAATTTGTACCAGTAAATGTTTTATAATAATTAACTATATAGCTTAAATGTATTATAGTAATGTATTAATTCATTCAGCCTCACAATGATATGCATATTATTTATTTGCATATTCACAAAGCCCTCTCACAGTGCCAGGAAATAAATGTTAGCTTATAGTGTGAGCCCCATGGCCGCATGGCCTATCACAGCGCGAACAGCGTCCCCTCTGTGTCAGTCCTCTACAGATTCAGTT